CCACTGTAAGTACCTCTGTAAGTACCACAATAAGTACCTCTGTAAGTACCACAATAAGTACCTAGAAGTACCACTGTAAGTACCACTATAAGTACCACTGTAAGTACCTCTGTAAGTACCACAATAAGTACCACTGTAAGTACCTCTGTAAGTACCACAATAAGTACCTAGAAGTACCACTGTAAGTACCACAATAAGTACCACTGTAAGTACCTCTGTAAGTACCACAATAAGTACCACTGTAAGTACCTCTGTAAGTACCACAATAAGTACCACTGTAAGTACCTTTGTAAGTACCACAATAAGTACCTAGAAGTACCACTGTAAGTACCACAATAAGTACCACTGTAAGTACCTCTGTAAGTACCACAATAAGTACCTAGAAGTACCACTGTAAGTACCTCTGTAAGTACCACAATAAGTACCTAGAAGTACCACTGTAAGTACCTAGAAGTACCACTGTAAGTACCATGGACTTACCGGCCCGTAATGTAAAGTGTTACCAATCAATGAATTGATTATACAAAATAATTGTTCATGCCAGCACTAACCCCTAACCTAATCTGCTGACAACTCTGCAACCATGCTTAGTTACAGAGAGAGGCTTTAAATGTATTCAATAAAGTCCATACAGGGTCCATACAGGGTCCATACAGCTGTAGTCAGCCGCAGCATTCAGTTGCCAGTGATAAAGTGATGCCTGTGTTTGTTCAACACAAGCTCAGAAGCAGCCTGGCTCTGTGTGCTCCGCTCTCTGCTGTTTTCTCTCCTTTTATTCTCGTCTATTCATTATGAAGGAGGCGGTCTCCTGTGGGCCATGATCACAGCGTGTGGTGTCACTGCATCTTCTGCTCCGTCATGACTGCCACTTCTCAAGGACCCAACTGCCAATGACAAAAATAAACTTTACTGAGAAGAGAGAATACTACTTTTTCCAAATCTATGTAGTGTTGGTTTTGGGAATTGCCTTTGTTTTAGTGCATCTGTCTCCCATCCAAGTAATAACAAGGCCAACTCTCTTCTTCAACTTCTCAGATCAGTTGAGGTGGTACTCAAGGTGATCTGTTTTATTTTGAGCAACTTTTTCTTTAAGCGTCATAAGGATTAGCTGTTAGTCATAACAGGTGCAACTGAAAACCCATTTGGAAGCTCTGGTTTTGTGGTCAACACTTTCAAGGTTCCCATAACTCTGGCTTTAACTACAATTAAACACAAAATGTCCCACCCTGGGTGCTGGCGCTATGTTTTTTTTACTGCATCAACAAAAGCACACCCTGGTCTTTCCTTAACCACTATGCCACCACTAAATTTCAGACTCATGCGCATTTATATGTTAATTCTCTTGTGGGCAACTCTGGCTTAACTGAATTAAACTTTATATTGGTTGCTTTATTGTCAAGTGCAACAAAACGTCCTGTCATGCCATCTACCTAAAGAAAGCCGTCATTCCCACAGTCCGACATCAATCGTGCAGCGTTCACTTACACCATAAGAGTCGGCCAGTGCAGCTGTTGCCACCACATGATTGAGTGCTGCATATAATTCTCGTTGGACAGGCGGGAGAACAGAGCTGTTGGATTAACCGTAGAAGAAAAGACGTATAGGGGTAAGCGTTGTACGTACATATACGATTAAAGGTTGGGGGGTGGAAGGCAAAAAGGGCTCCAGGGCTTGGACAGAAAGCTAGCTCAGCAGGAGCCTGATTATACCACCAAAGGGTTCCACTTTGCACATCCAGCAAGTACAAGTCAAACAAAGGAGCATATAGGCACTTGAAAGTCAGGGATGGGGTCTGCAGCTCTGTACATGTCTGCGAATGGGCGGGCATGGAGCGATGTGGGGGTATTGAGGGGCCTTGTGGCACTTTTATGGTTGGATGTAGTGTTTTGGAAGGGACAAAGCAGACTCCCGTGAAGCCATCGGCACACACACATCGTGAACAGCTTGAGCGCGCTTTAGCACCAGTGTTTATAGACACATGGATCAATATGCTCCCCAAGGGTCTATATTTAAGACCACAGCTGAAAAGTGGACATGCTGATCACAAGGAGAGGGGCCTCATGTTGGTTATTACTGGATTTGGATGATGGTCAGGAACAAAGGGATCTGAGGGGAATCCTATCCTTTTTTTTCTGTATATGATAGTAATATAACTTCGCTAAGCATTTGAGACAATTTATTTTTGATATGCAATTTTGGCAAGCCTCTTTATGGAGAAAGAACTACCCATTAACCCTCTCCCTAACCCCTAATCTTAATCCTAAACTCTGACCTTTAATGCTTTTAATTGAGTGATTTTCAGCCAATCCTTTAAGGAGCATGCAGGTCACAGTGAATAGATAATGTTTATTGATTGGCAATTTAGTGTTCTCTACCATTGTTCTAGACTCCTATTAAAAAAGATTTGGTCTTTGAACACCTCTGACGGATAGGCCATCCCAATTCAGCGTCACCATTCTTAACAGTTACATTTGCATTCCCCTTCTAAAACTCCTTATTAATTCAAGTCTTTTACTGTCTGATTATTCCAGCCACATCCTTCACCCCTGATTCCTTCTGCCCCTGCCTCTGGAAATGCAAATCCGAGGCGTGACAAACGATGTACAGCCGATTCCGACACGTTCGCACCCCCCTTGGCATGGCCCCCTGCTCCTGCCTGGCTTCACCTCCACTCTCTCTCCTGTAATTACCCATGTTGCATTGCTACACCTAATCATACTTGATTTGGGGATGCTCTGCCATTGTCTGCACTTGTTAGCCTCTTAAACCGCTCCGTTCTGATGGAGTGCTCTGATAACAGCCAGAGTTTTCTGCTGGCTGTTTATGTGCGCAGATTTTCAACAATAACAGCCTGATTTGGCTTTCAAAATGTTATCTCAACAGGTTGAATTAGATGAAATAGGAACAATAAACTCAAAGACTAAAGAATGAAAAATAAATCAGCTCTGAATAAAATGAAATGTAAAAACAAACAGAAAATGCAGTCCATGTTTTAAGATTATTAAGAAAATGTTTCCAGCCGAACCGTAGTCACAATTTATAAGAATCTGAACAATACCTAAAACTGCCTTTTTGTACCTCAATGTATTCAGGTAATTTACCAAGTACACATCACTATTGTAAAATCTGTTGTTTTTGGGTTATTGTTATGGATGAATCCTTGTTACCCTTGAATCCTACATACAGTACATTGAGAATACGTTGCATGTCGTTTAATACAAGATCCAGATGAAACAAGCTGCATACAATCACATATATAAAACAGTCAAACAGAGAAGGGGTGGGCTCATGTGACTCCCAATTTGTCCTCACTTTGTTCCAGTAATAAGATCCAGGCCTTCCTTTCCAATGGACAAGATAATTAACTCCCGGGGACAGTCTGCGTGCCGAGGTTTACGGCCTCTTCAAATAGATCTCCACAGCCCAGCCTCTGCACGTTAGAATAAATCCTCTATCGTGGCTTGATGTGCTGCTGTATGTTTTTAGAGATATGTGGAGATGGAAGGAGCCAGGGCCATTGGGGGCAGGGCAGCCGAAACATAAGCGGTGTCTATGAATATGAAATGCAAAAGGTGAAAAAAGCAACTGTGCGGTAATCTTATTAGCAAAGGTGGTGTTTGTGTAGCTTAGGAAATGCCCAGTTGAAAATGTATCGACATAATACCACAGCCTTCAAATTGACAGAAGTTTTAGGGTTTACAAGCTTATTGTATATGCAAATATGGGATATGCATGGATTATATTTGGGATGGAATAAGAAAGTCCATCCATCCATCCATCCATTTTCTTCCCCTTAATCCATTTCTGGGTCGGGGGGGTGGCCAGAGATGCCACCCAGTACACTTAGCACCAGCCCCTCACTGATCCTCCTGCAGGTGGTGAGTCCACAGGAGCTGAGATCTTTCAGTGAGAGAATAAGAAAGTAGCATTAGAAAAACATCAGGGAATCAAACCCAGCAGTTTTTCAATACAATTATTTGTTGTGTTGTTGTATTTCCAATTCAGGGAATTTTCATACAAAGAAATGTGTAATTCAGTCATGGTTTTAATTCAAAGAGACTGACAATAATCTAAATATACCATGAAAACCAAGCTTCTGAATTTGGGATTTTGTTAAATATTTTAAGTACATCACAAGAAAAGCGGTGAAGAGACATTAAATGTTGTGTTGCATTGACACAAAAGATAGAGAAAGCCAACCCATTACAAAGAAAACTGCAAAATTCAAAAGGCTCTTGTGAAGATAGATAGATACTTTATTGATCCCCGTAGGAGAAATTCAGGTGTCCAGTCGCAGCAAAAACCTAAAATAAAAACTGATCATCTCAAAAAGCAAAAACATTCAAGTTGTGTACTCTTTTCTAGACCATGTGAATACAGCTAGGGCTATACAAAAATACCCTGAATTGAAATGAACTATTCTTTGTAAGACCATTTGATGCAGGGCTTTGACTAACGGCAACATTTTACCCGTGGATGCTTACTTTGCAATAGTAACTTCTACATTCAGCAGTTTGTTGTTTTCAGTCAACTGTATATTTAAACAAGAATATGTGAAAATAATGCTGCAATAGTCTTCATATAAACTGCTTGGTCAGAGAGTGTGACAGCAGCGGGATGACTCCGGTCAGGCTCATTCTCGCCACAGTAACCTGCCTCTCCTTCCCGCATTGTCCAGCAACTGCTTTGGAATTTGCAGCATAATAGTTTCCGTCCATTGTGAGCGAGTCTCTTTATATGGCCCTGTGACTCGACATGAACTTTAGCCTTTAAACGCACTGACACCTTATTCATTCATGCTTTTATGTGCTTCCCTGGTCCATTTTTTTTGTATCTAACCGTTCATTTTCTGTTTTCTCTTGTTTTCCTGCAGAAACATGTGAAGACCTTTGGCCCAAAAGACAAGTCAGCCTTCAAAAACAAAAAGGGAGGTCTTGGCCTTTCTTCCTTTCAACTGTTCTCTCTTCTTCCTCTGCGACTTCCTTGCAGCAACACTAAACATGGAAGAGTCAATGAAAAGAACTTTATCACCCAAGTCAGGTTTGATAGCTTCCTGGCTAAGTTTGTGGATCTTAGCTTCATCGTGCCATGGACAAACGTTCAATAGTTTCCACCCAGAACGCCGGGATTGGGTATTCAACCACTTGACAGTCCACCGAACAACAGGAGCACTATACATCGGCGCTGTCAATCGTGTTTACAAGCTTTCCGGAAACTTAACTCTTCTAGTTTCCCACGACACAGGCCCGGAAGATGACAACAAGGCCTGCTACCCTCCACTCATAGTTCAACCGTGTTCCGAACCGCTAGTCTCAACCAACAACGTCAACAAACTTCTCCTCATCGACTACTCTCAAAACCGCTTGCTGGCTTGTGGCAGTCTCTATCAAGGTGTCTGTAAACTACTCCGACTTGATGACCTCTTCATCCTGGTTGAGCCATCTCATAAAAAAGAGCACTACCTCTCTAGCGTCAACCAAACAGGCACCATGTACGGGGTGATTGTGTCTTCGCAAGGCCAAGATGGCACACTGTTCATTGGCACCGCGGTTGACGGAAAGCAGGATTATTTCCCAACCATATCCAGTCGGAAGTTGCCTCGTGATCCCGAATCGTCCGCCATGCTCGACTATGAATTGCACACAGATTTTGTGTCATCGTTGATTAAAATCCCATCGGACACACTAGCGCTCGTCTCTCATTTTGACATCTACTACGTCTATGGATTCTCAAGTGGTAGCTTTGTCTACTTTTTGACGGTCCAACCAGAGATACCAGAAAACAGCATGTCATCAAGCGGCTCTCCGAGTGATCTCTTCTATACGTCTCGCATTGTAAGGCTTTGCAAGGACGACCGCAAGTTTCACTCCTACGTATCATTACCAATTGGGTGCGTGAAGAATGGGATTGAATATAGGCTCTTGCAGGCAGCCTACCTTGGGAAACCAGGCCGTGTTTTGGCATCTTCATTGAACATTAGCGCTCAAGACGATGTGCTCTTCACCATTTTCTCCAAAGGCCAAAAGCAGTTCCACCGTCCTCCAGATGATTCAGCCCTCTGCATCTTCACCATTAAGGATATCAACGCTCGCATCAAGGATCGGCTGCAGTCCTGCTACCAGGGAGAGGGCAACCTGGAGCTCAACTGGCTGCTCGGCAAGGACGTACAGTGCACCAAAGCGGTGAGTTCATGTGACTATTTTCATTCTTTGTAGTTTTTTTCTGTGGGATTGTTAAAAGATCGAACAGACAATTTAAACTATTCAGCATTTCAAATATTTCAACACATGGGCACAAGAGGCACTTACACGGCCAACATGCATACATACCTATTAGGGGTGTGCTAAATAGATTTTGAGACGTACATGAATGGCTTTCTTTTATTTTCTTTTTTTTGTCCCATTCTTCATAAAGAAGTTTTTTTGAAATTGTGTTGTCTGTATACGGGGCAAAAAGCTTTAATCTTTTACTGAACCCAAATTGTTTAGAAATATATTGTATCAAATTATACCAAATTGAAAATTGGCAAATGTACAGCCCTAGTGCATATCATACGACATTTAATATTAGACAAAATGTCTTGTATAATTCCATGTCTGAAGAATATTGGGCTACCACATTGGGTAGCAATTCATACAACAGAAAAAATGTGTTGCATTGAAAGTTACATATTGCACAGCTTTAACTTATCAGCCTCCATGAAAACAAGGAAAAAATATGTGGCTTGGATTTTAATTGTTTTCCAAAGGTTTGCTTGTGCCCAAAATAACATAATCTGCAACAAACTAAAAATATTGTCTCAACAGTTTTTACAAGGTCACACGGTCACAGTCCAACAACATCGATCTCATTTTCCCCAGCCAAGTAACATTTTTAGGGCAAGACCTTATTTTCTTACTGAGGCAGAAAACCACATTTTGGAGAGCTGGGTGTGTTCTGTAATACAAACAACCTAGGCATCATTAGGGAAAGCCTTCTGAACAAATCACACTCATTCTACACATAATTATATCAAACTGCTTTTGAATCCCGTTATTAGCCTCCTCTTTATAGTGCGTTTTTTTGCAGGCGCATTCAGAAATTAGTGGGTTTATTATTCTTGGCAAGCTTCAAAGAAAAGCGATTTTCAATACAAGTAAATGCAATCTTCAATTTTGTACACGCGAGGAGCAGTGGGAGGGGTGATACTCTAGATAGTCGTGTTCTGATGCTTGCATAGATCACACGCATGCCTATTCCGTCTGAAATATCCAATTATCCCATAACGCTGGGCTGTTCTGCTGCACTATGTTGTCAAGTAGAATTAAGTGTCTCGATTCCCTTTTACTCCCAAAGGGCCCCCAGTCCTTTGTGTGTTCACTCTGTAATTGCTAATAGGAATTTAAGATTATTAAGAATTAATGATTAGCTCGAATCATCGCTATGTGTGTGCCTGTGCATATATATTGGTAGGTCTGCGTGCATGTCTAGGGTCTAATAATGTCTTTATACAGCCACTTAGAACTGCTGATTAGCTTGCCTTGTTGCTAATCCCCAGGCGCTCCATTGACCATTTTTATTGAAATCAGTATAATTCCCTATTAGCAGCAAGTCAGAGGTGACTGTCGGGATGTGGAGATGTTATCTTGAGTTTCATTAGCTCTCAAGTGAAGATGGCGAAGAGGAAGGATGAGGAAACCTAACTCTAGTAGTGTGTTAGTGGTTTCAACTATTTTACAAGACCAAAATAAAATAGTGTTCTGTCAGCCTCTCCAAATGTTTTGAATGTTCGCAATAGGTATAGTTTCATGAAGCCTTGTTAAATAGTCTACCTGATAATATCATGATTGTATCAAAATCAAGTTATGAACACTCAACATATTAATATCGCAACAGCAACAAACTGATAACAAACATACATGGATTTCCTGGTAAAATAGTACATTTTCAATAAAACTCTTTTGTTTACTTTTGCCAAACCCATAGTTATATTGTATTTGATATCTCTGACATTAAACTTTGGATATGCAGACAGGAAAACATGCTCTTGTTCACTAAACTACAAAGCCCCTAAACTATAATACAAGTTTTACTATTGTGGCATTCTTCATCTTAATTAAAATATATTATCTGTGAGGTAATATTGACATTTTGCAAATCGTTTCACATGCTTGCACTCATAAAAAACTGTAAACATCTCTTGTAAAAGCTTTATTCTGCAAATATTATTATTCTGGTAAAACCTGTAGCGACACCCAATCAATGTAATCAAAATACTGTTTCATTTGGAGCCAGGCCTCGTCCTCCTCCATAGACCTTTTTGCCTCCACATTGTTCATAAAGCTTGAATGAATGTGTGTTTGGTCATACACACAGATGGATACACATGTTGCTTAGGTCCACGCCCAGCCCCTCATTGAACAGTCGATATGTCCGCAGCACAGTGCTATGGATTATGCAGATAGATGTCAATGGCTTTAGAGCTCATAAATCTTTGACATTACAAGATTATTGTGTATTTTAACAGGGGGAGCGATATATCGGCCGTAATGTCCCCTGCAAATGGCATTGTATTTAAATCCCAACACTAACTTTTGTTTTACTTTTCTTATGCAAAACTAATTTACTTTTAATTATCTTTTGACTCTCATGGAATTTGACCTGTCTAGAAGCAAGGAACATCCCCCTAAAGATATTTATAATCATTTCCAAAGTACTTTGCTCATTACATTGCTGCTCTGCTGTTTCCTGTTTCCTCTAGCATGGAAACAGCAGGTAGTCTGTTATCTAAAAACCTTAGGGAGTCTTAATTATACCTACTTTCACTGCACAGTATGCATTGTGGTATTGTTGTAAAAAGAGCCATGTTACCGTAGAAATATAATTTTTTAAAGTGCAATGACATGTATGAACAGGCACCAACAAATAGATATTGTAGATACAGTAAGTCGTATATATGCCCATAGACATTCTTTCAAACCCCCCTTATTCCCACCGGCCTAAATCATGCAGTGTATATATATGAAAAGTGTATATGAGAAATTGAAATAGATCTTCCTCTGGCACCTGTGATGTTGGCCCAGGCTGGACTGGGGACCCGAGCTGAGCCAGGGGAGACGTCTCAGCAGCCAATCAAACATGTATCAGACAGTCAGCCGTCTGATGTCTGTGGAGACGCCATGTTTAAGAGACGAGAGGAGAGTTGCATGATGGGAAGGTTTCTCTGGCTCTTTCTTGTATCTGTATCACGTGCACATGGGGGGGACTCTGGTGTGTTTTTTGTGCTTGTGTTGCCACTACTAATGCCAATGATGATCTAATCTATGTTTGAACTTTCTAATTGAATTTTGAATCCTGAATGGGGGAAAAAATATCTATTGATTATCTGATTGATTACTAAATTAGTTGAACATTATTTTAATAATTGATTAGTTGCAATGAATCAATTCAGAAGAAAAGTCCAAGTTAAGTTTAATTTGTTTTAGAAGGCGTTCAGTTGATCTATTCTTATAAATGGCTTTCATTCTGCAAGAGCTATTCATATCACACCAAACAGACTCAGCCATGTAAACCTAATTTCAACACTTTGTGCAAAGAAGGGGGGGGACAAAAGGACTGTAAAAGGTGTCCGCACACACACATTTCTATTCAAACAAACTGCACCACTCAGACTCCAGAGGGGCCGTGGTGTTGCCAAGTCTACTCCAACATCATCTAAACAATCTCGGTATAATCAGGACCAAATGGTGTGGAGCTCAATGCACCATATGTGGCAGAGAGGCATGCTTCAGCCAGAAGATTCTGATAAGCCTGAGTCTGCGTCTGAAGTCTGCTGCCTCCCTGGATATAAGTAGCTCCTCCATCTCCCATCTGAGAATGTGGGAGATCACCATATGTGTAAAACAAGCCCAAGAACATTATGTATGTGCCGCTATAAAAGTTGAACAAATTCTCAATGAATGCCTGTGTGGTCTGAAGAAACAAAGGCAGATAAAGCAAAACATGGACCAATTTTGTTGGGGCTGGTTTCACCAACAATTCTGGATAAAAAGAAGAAGAGACAAAGCGCGTGATCTTTTTTACTTGCAAGTGAGAAGCCGTCACAGAGATCAAGACCCGGTATTAGATTTGGGATTGTATTCAATCTCCCTGATATGATAAATGTGGTCAAAAATCCATGTGAGTACTTTATATCCAGGAGTTGGATATTCCAACAAGAACAAAGGATGTTTTTTTCATAAATGTATTAGTAATAAAACCTTTGTGAACTCCTGCTTGTTTTCATAAACTTAGTAAACCAATAAATGATCTATGTCAATTCTGGCAGAAATCCCATCCTCAAGACCATAGCATTTCAATACATTTTTTTAAGAACATGGTTTACAGAATATCGTCCTTCTATGGAACTCAACAGCCTAACTTAATGCATGTCTTGGTAAATTAGGAATACACTCCACTAACATACTTTCAGAATGTTATGAACAGACTTATAAGGGTAAACAAGGGTCACATATTCTGCAGCTCTCACATCTGTGTTTGGACTGGAGCCACAGGATGACCATTCAATTACAGGGCAGTGTTGTGGTTTGGGTGTAAGCCAAAGGTGAAAATAAACAGCTGTGATTGAGTTGAGACACTATACATAAAACCGAATACATTTCCCTCTGTTTGAGTTTGAAGCTCTCGTGTCAAATCTCATGAAGATGGTCTTTATGACACTGATGTCCTGAGGCGGGAAAGACCAAGGAGGACATGTAGGGATGGGGCATTGAGACGGTGGACTCATACAAGTACCAGAGTGTTCAACAAACTGGGTTGGACTTGTAACGCAGACACTGCCAGAAATGAATGTGCAGACTCCTCGCTGGGGAGACTCACGTCTTTTGGAGTACGGGGGCCACTCTTGAAGACCTCCTCCTGTGATTGTATCAGGCATCTTGTACAAAAGAAGCAGGAAGTTCAGCTTGGTCCTGGGCTGTCCCCTGGACACAGTGCAGCAGGTGGGGGACAGAAAGCACCTGTGTGCCAATTCTGATGTTCAGAACTTTATACTTTGGGGTGTACACACCAAACCATAAGCAGTTTGCTCCAATTTTATGGGGGTCTAATCACTTTTGATAAATGCATCCTTCGATGTCCAGATTAATGTGTCTTCTTTTTATAACAGCCCTTTCAAATGCTTTTACACTGCTTACATCCTCAA